ACGACTACGGCATGCACGACTATGAGTACCCCCCCCCCCCCCGTTTTTTTGCCACGTTTTGTTGAGGACCAAAGGGTGTTGCTCTTAGTGGCCCAGGCGTCTTGCTCCTGTGCGTATTCGTCCTCGGCACGATTCACTCTCACCCCCTACCCCTCTGGCGCGCGTCTTGCCGCCTTCGCCCGCTCCTGCAAAACATGAACATGGGTACCGCGACGCCTACAGCTATGGCACCTACGGCCCAGCGTTCGAGGACGGCGCCAGCGCTTTCCCAAACCCTGTCGACATACCCCTAGAAAACTTTTACTCCTGCGGGGACTGCGTGTTTCCCGGGGTCGGGGTGCCGGCCGTCGCCGTCTCCGGGGCAAACGTGGCGAACTCTTGCGTGGGCCCTCTGGCGCACCTGCGGCTCATCAACCGCCTCCAGAGGGATTTGAAGTTAACCGCCCAAGCTTCAGCCGGCGGCGGCGGTGGTAGATGAATGATGCCGGTGGCGATCACGTGTGAAACACCGTGAGAGCGTTTTGATACATTGATGCCATAGCTTTTTGCCCCCCATGGCGGCCACACGTGACACGCTGTGAGAACGTTATGATACATGGATGGCATGTTTTTTGCCACCCATGAGCTAGGTAGGATCTGATGGCTTTGGGTTTCAATTTATTGGTGCACACGGCGACTTCGCTGACTACGATGTTGGACGTTTCCAACCAAGTGTCGGCACGCTCGTGTGGGGGATCGTCATGTGTGCATGGACCTGAAGATTTTTCGACAAGCGGCCAGGTGTACTGTACCAAAAATCTGCTGGTTGGTGTCATTGCTCAGAATAGTACCATCGCATAACTGGCGTGCCTGTATAACACTGTAAGCCGCCGTGTATTTGGCTCATGACGAAAGCAGAAATCGGAGTTGTCGCTTTTGGGGGTGTCTTGGAAGAGCCGTCCATGTGTGTGTGCGCAAGTACAAATTGTTCACTTAGCATGATAGCATTTCTGCTGAGAGGCGGAGGTGTTCGTACACCTCAGAGTTAGGGCAGCGTGGCGTCACGTGGGCAAGGAGATACGACTAAACAAAAGTGGGTAACACCTTGGTGCCGTTACAGCCGTTGCATGCAGAACAACGACACCATCGGCTTACGCGTCGATGGTTCGAGGAGACTTTTTGGGGAGAATTGCGCATGGTTTGACTTTTCCCGAAGCTGCGCCCGCTAGCATTGCCGCAAACCAGACTGTGCGGCGTATAATGCCGATAGCCTGCTGACACATTTATGAAAGTGTTCCAGGATGTGAATATCTTCCTTGGCCGGTACATCTGCTATCTATCGCAGCCGCGTGTGTGCGTTAAACATGCGGATAGCCCAGGATCCACGTGTTGGATTATTATGGTGAAGTGAAGTTTTGGACTGGATGCTGTTGATCTGTTATACGAAGAAGACGATATGCATTTCGGGGATAAATCCATTTCCGTCCTCGGGATTATCGATTGATTATATGTTCGTCGCTTCACTTTTTCCGGAGTTGGGTCTCCCCGATCCCTGCGGTTGGCAATGCTGTTGCACAGCATGGATTATTCAGGACGGTGCAGAGAAGCAGAGAAGCCCACCATCCCAGCGCGCCTTTGGAGCGAGCGAGGGACCGGCAAGATTACCAGGTGGGGAACTGCTGTGGATGCTACATCGAGGGTGCTTGGAGGTCTAAGTGTGTGAGACTGGTGTGCAGTGTTGAGAGAGTGAGAGCAAGAGAAGCTGTCCGTAAGTTGCGCCGCAACATGACGGCGTACAATCCGATCCGAAGGACAGCTGAGAGAAAGCATCCCGCTGATCTCGAAATATCAAGACACATCCAACGAAGGCGAAGATATATTTGACTCCTGTGCCAGCCGGACGTCGCGCTGAAAAGAGAGGGCAGCACAACAGTTTCCAGCTAAAGGAGTTGACCATAGTAGTGGTAGAGCTCTTTCCAGGTGGCTCCTCCCGCTTCAGGTAGGCAATCCGCCGGCCTCACCGAAACAAGCATTTTCCACCGTCTCTACGCGTATTCCTCGTCTCATTCACTCATTGCATCTCCGCACCCATAGATTCCATATGCTACCAAGCGTAATACTTCGAGGGAGAGTCAGCCGCGCAGCGCCAATTCGACCCATAGACAAGCAACATCCCTCTCCAACAAAACTCATTCGACGGAGAGGAATTTAAGGAAATATGCACGCAATCAAGGACAGACCCACGGTTCGCGACAAAACCACACACAGTTGAAGGCGAATACCGCGAACGAATGTGGAATTTTCCTTGCTTTCAATCGCCCCGCCATCCATCCCCTGGCCAAGGCTTCCATGGGGAGGCACGCGGCGGACCCGCGTTTCCTCTCGTTCACGGAGAACAGAGCTCCTAGGGCTCTAGTTCTTTTCAGCGAAGACAGAAAGGGTGGGCTCGCCACCGCCGCCCTACCAGACGAGCAGCAGTGCCCTCGTTTTGCGTGTTCCGCTAGATTTGAATATTTAGACTATATCCGCAAATCATCGATTACACATACCTGCAACAACCCAAAAAAAAAGTTCCCGGTGACGTGGGGGGGCCATACACAACCGCGGAACCAAGCGGGCGAACTCACAACAAACATCCCCTACAGCAAAGCCAAAAGCCGTACATCTGTCTGCATGGTCGGCACGGTTGCTGAAGAGGTGATGGCAGAGCTTCTGCTGATATAAATCGGCAGGTAACAAAGATAAACGTGCTCCGGACAGTGTGAGACTCTCGAACGCTAACTCTACCCATCTATTCACAATGGCGTCAGTTGGACTACAAAGCGTTTCTGGCTTTCCTTAGCCCCCTTGGCAGCGACTACATCTATCCACCCACATATAAACAGCAGGGACTTCACAGCATAGACGGCGTCAGAGCTAAAATAAACTATCCTAAGAGAGCAGCCACCGTACATTCAACAATCTTCGGGCAATCCAGGTGTGGAAATACTTACAAGTTGACATCTTGCGCAATGTTACAATCATGTGCAGCCGCATGTACTTTGTACTACCGTAAGCCCCCGCGAACTATTCTACCAATATTCGCCCTTACGTATCTGAAATCGAAAACGCCTTACCAATAACCCGATCATGGCGACGGAGCTCCTGACACCCACAGAATTTTCAACTGGCAATCATCGGTCGACGACGCATGTCCGGCGCAACAACGTCGTCCGCCCCTTCCCGACCCCCTAAAATTCTCGTTCCGAGTGCTTGCTCCAGCTGCTCCCGCCAGAGCCCCAGCTCCTCCGCCGTCGCCCCGTCTCCGGGGATCCGCCGTCAGAAAGACTCAAACCCCTGTTCACGTCCCACATCCAGTTTGCGCCACCCGCGCCTTCTGCCCCTTCCCCCTCCGCCGGCCCGGACCCGTTCCTGATCCAGTCGGAGAATCGAACCCAATCCGGACTCTCGTCCGTGGGCCAGGACGAGAGCGTGTCCAGCCCCTCTACGCCCACCTCCAGGTCGCCATAGCCGCCGCCGCCGCCGCCGCCGCCGCTTTCGGCGTTGTCGCTCACTGACGGCCCGGCGCCGGCCGCGGCAGCGAGCGCTGCCAGCCGGAGCCCAAGCTGTTGCGCGGTCACATCCCGCTCTAGAACGACGCTCGCCTCGCTCTGCGGATCGGTGGCACCGGCGGCGGCGGCGGCGGCGGCTTGTTGTGGTCGGTGGGGGTTCGTGGCGGAGTCGACGGCAGGGTCGCCAGGTCTCGCCGGGGCCGCCGCGGGGCTGTCCTCCACGAATTCAACGCGCGGGACCCCTCCGCTGCTCCAGTTGCCGGTCCCTCCGCGATACAAGCGGTTGGCGTTAGAGTTCGTCTGCCCCGCACGGGACGCAGCGCCCGCGAACTGTCCCGTCCACGCTGCTGCTGTGCTGTGGCTGCTTTCTTTTCGTGTTGCCGCGTCATCTTCGACTGCTGCCAGTACCGCCGGCGGGACGGCCTCAGACTTGTCGCTAATGCTCCTACCAAACAGCTCAACTATTGCTGGTTCTCGGCCGCCGCCGCCGCCGCCGCTTTCGCGGTAGCAATCGCTGCCACCAAATCCTCTCTTGTTGCTACGCGCTAGGCCTGCGGGGTCGGACCTAGACTTGACGTACAACCCGCGCAGGCTGTCGGTGCTGGGGGTGTCGTCTGAGCCCACCGGTTTCTCGCTGCCCTCGGACAGCGACGCGGAGGAAGAACACGCCAACGAGGAGGCTCCCGCCGAGCTGCCGCGGCGAGTCGTGCGACCTGGGCCGGTGGCGGCGGCCGCCAGCAGCTTGCCGCTGCTGCTGCGGCCGCCGCCGCCGCTATGACCGCCACCCTCCCGGCTGTGAGAACGATCGCCGCCGCCTATCCCGCCACAAGGGCCCGCCACCGCGCTCGCGCCACCGGCACCATGGCGAGCAGCGTCGCCACCCGACCACGGCCTGACCAAAGGTCCCGGCGACACGGCGACATCGTCAGCGTCTCCTCCCCCCCGCTCCGCCATTTCCACGTCCCGGTACGCGGTGCTTCCGCCACCAGCACCGGCACCTGCGCGGGGGCCGGCGCCGTCGGTTTCCTTCGGGGCCAGACGCTGCCCTGTCGCCGCCGCCGCGTCCTCCTCCTTGCTCCCCAGGGCAAGCCTGGCCTCCTCGACGCCCTTCCCCTCTCCCTCACTGCGAGCACCACCACCGGCGGAACTCGCGCCTCCGACCGACCATTCCGGGCGACCACCCTCCTGGACCGTCCCGCCGTCGCCGCAGCCGGACTCGATCGAGACTGTCGTCGCGGCCCCGCCAACGCGCGCGCCCACGCTCCGCCCCGCCGCTCTGCGCCGCCACGACTCGGAGGCGGCCTTGGCGTTCCTCACCAGGTACGGGAGGCTCCTGAAGGCCCTGACGAGGCCTGGGGACCGGGGCGGCGGAACCTTCCTTCCCTCGACGCACATGGCGGCAGCGGCGGCGGCGGTGTGCGGAGAGGCCGACGAGGAGGGCGTTTTGTCCTCGTATGATGACCCGGGGGAAGGAGTTCCCAGGGGCAGCAGCATGCCCCCCGCGCGGAGGAGCCGCAGCTCCCGCTGCTCTTGCTTGGAAGCGTTCAGAATGCGGCGGAACCCTTCCGTCGTCACGAAGTCTCTCCGGAAGTTGGTCTATTTTTCGTGTTGACGGTGATCGCGAGCGAGGGGGCGTGATTTCAGTACAAAAACAGGTGGTCCGTGCTGAAAAGGTGGGGGGGGGGGGG